CTCTACCACTGAGTCACCTTCCCAGCCCACACTTCAGCTTTTCTGAATGGTTGATTGGAGATAAGAGTCTCATGGACTTTCCTTCTTGGGCTGGCTTTGAACCGAGATTCTTAGATCTCAGCCTCCTGAGTAGCTAGGATTACAGGTGAGCCACCAGTGCCAGGCTATGATGTTGATTATTTATTTATTTATTTTTGCTGGTTGTGGAGCCTGAACTCGTCCTGGGCACTGTCCCTCAGCTCTTCAGCTCAAGGCTAGCACTCTAGCACTTAAGCTACAGCACCACTTGTGGCTTTTTCTGCTTATGTGGTGCTGAGGAATTGAACCCAGGACCTCATGCATGCAAGGCAAACACACTATCACTGAGTCACCTTCCCAGCCCTCCCTGAGACTCTTATCTCCAACTATTCACCAGAAAGCCGAAAGTGGCGCTGTGGCTCGTGTCTATCACTTGCCTTGAGCTGAAGAGCTAAGGGACAGTGCCCAGGCCAAGTTCAAGCCCCACAACTGATAATAAATAACCAAATAACAATAATAGTAATAATAATTAAGTGGTTGTTAGTGGCTCTCACCTGTATTCCTAACTACTCAGGAGTCTAGATCTTAAGATCATGGTTAAAGCCAGGTGCTGGTGGCTCTCGCCTATAATCCTAACTACTCAGGAGGCTGAGATCTGAGGATCACAGTTCAGAGCCAGCCCGAGCTGGTTGTGAGACTCTTATCTCCAATAAACCACCAGAAAACCAAAAGTGGTACTGTAGCTCAAGTGGTAGAGTGCTTGCCTTGAGCTGATAGAGCTGAGGGACAGCGCCCAGGCCCAGAGTTCAAGCCCTGCAACTGACAAAAAGAAAAAAAAAATCCAGTTCAGAGCAGATAAACTATTGATTCTTATCTCCAGTTAACTAGTCAAATGGCAGAAGTGGAAGTGATAGAGCACCAGCCTTGAGTGAAAAAACTAAAGAGCCTGGGGCTGATGTCTCAGCCCTGTAATCCTAGCTACTCAGGAGGCTGAGATCTAAGGATCACAGTTCAAAGCCAGCCTAGCAGGGCTGGGAATGTGGCTTACTGGTAGAGTGTTTGCCTAGCATGCATGAAACCCTGGGTTCGATTCCTCAGTACCTCATAAACAGAAAAATCTGGAAGTGGCACTATGACTCAAGTGGTAGTGTGCTATCCTTGAGCAAAAAAAGCTCAGGGACAATGCCCAGGCCCTAAGTTCAAGCTCCAGGACTAGCAAAAACAAAAGAAAAACAAAAAACAAAACCAGCCTTGGCCACAAAGTCTGTGAGACTCTTATCTCCAATTAACCACTAGGAAACTGGAAGTCTCATTGTAGCTAAAAGTGGTAGAGTACTAGCCTTGAGGGCAAAGCTCAGAGGCAGTGCCCAGGCCCTGTGTTCAACCGCATGACAAAAAAAAAAAAAAAGTTCGCCCAATGAGCTCCCTTCCCATAGCTTAGTCCACTCTTTCCCCTCTCCACAGCTTAGCATGCTCCCTTCCTAGGCAACACTAGGCTCATGTAGTAAAGGCAGTAAATAATCAGCCTCCAACCCCCTCTACTTTGAGATGGCACTTCTCTGGAGCAACTACCACCACATAAGGCAACAAGAGCCCCTTAGAGTGGCCTTCAGGTCTGGGCAGCTGCAGGACCCCTTATCTACTATTGGCAGCAGCCATAAATCCTAGTCTGCCATGATGAAGCCTCTGGCCCTCACATCCACACCAGGATCTCTGCCTCCTAGCCCCTTCTAGCCCCTCCTAAACCTCCTAGGTTATATAGGTCACCCCAGACAATAGCCGGTGCTTCTTCTCACTTCTCCCTTGTGAGAAGGGGTCTTGCCAGCCCCATTCTTGGCAATAAACCTTTCTTGTGGGCTGGGAAGGTGGCTCAGTGGTAGAG